TCAAACCTATATTAAGCGGTCACGGGGAATGACGGGGCTAGCGCTTAATACAGGTTAACTGCTCAATACATGGGTATGGATATGATAAAAACCGAGGAAAACGCCATTTTATGCCATAACTGACAAATAATTGTGAAAAGTACTATTAACATTGATTTTGGGAGATTAACATGGACTGAATTTTACTTGAAAGATTGTTCTTAGTTAGAGGAGGATTTTCTTGGGTGAACACATGGGCCCGGTTGTTCAAAACTGCGATTAGCGCTAATCCACGATTAAATAGGCTAATCGCCGATTAAATTTAAGTCGCCGATTAGTTTCTGTTGTTCAAAGCCCGATTATTCCTAAACTTCGATCAAACCAAGGGTTAAATCTAACCCTGCTCGCTAGGTGGATTAAATCCTTAATCGGCAGATTAAAAAATCACAACATGGCTGACTTGTTGTATGGTTGTGTTGGTGTTGATGGGCGAAGAAAAAGGAAGCAAAGAGAGTTTAGGAGCATCGGTTTCACGATAGATGGATATACAAACGAAGAATTATTAAGCTTCAAATTACTCTGCTTTAATAGTAAAGCCTTGTACTGCTCTTCCAGCACTCTGGAATCGCCGATTAGGCCTAATCGGTGATTAGTTTAATCGCGGTTTTGAACAACCGGGCCCAATGGTTTTTATCGGGGATCAGTTGTTACCAACAGGATATAAAAGGGGGGGGGGGGGGTACTGTAGAAAATTACCTGCCATTTTACTGCCACCAAGGAGAGGGGGGTCATAAGAAGACAAAGGAGCTTGCGGGGGGAGGGGGGGTATCAGGTGAACTTTTTCGTGTTACAACCAAATTCCTTCAACGAAGGAAAATCTGAGATTCGTTAAAACTATTTATAACTGAACTGAAACAGATCAGGCCTTTCGAGATTTCATTACTTACATGCTCGCAAATTTCTGTGCTTTACTGACTTTCCTTACAAAGGCTTTTCAGAGACAATGCATTTAGACATTCTAGCCTTGTAATATATCAAATTAGATATGTACATGTACGCGGATAATTTGATGATTAAATTCATAAAAGCGAGAGTAGATTATACCAAGAGATTACGAACAGCTTGTATTCTCGTGATTATACCTTGACGCTCGCGGAAAGCTTGCGAGAAGCGCCATAGTTTATTTCTTAAAGTTTTTCCATCTTCAACCTGCTCCCACGGTAAACTGTTAAACATCCAAAAAGTTGAAGATTTTAGATATATGAAAATTCACATATTTGCACTGCGGTGGAAAGATGAAATTAGGAGATCCTCGCAGCTAAGAAC